TCCCGGATTCGGTCAACTAACTTCGGATACTTTGACCTGAGTCCATCGACAAATTTGGGGGAACTTGAGATTTTTATTTCTCAAAATTAAAAATAAAACAGATTTAAGACATAGAAAATGGCATACCTTCAATATTGTAGTACTTTTGTGTCATATTTGCTGCTTTGTGTTCCAGAAAAAACAAGAATTCAAGGGGTCGTGTTTTGAGTTCGGACTTATGGCTTTATTTTTTATAATTTTGAATTTTTTTAGCCGAATCCTTACACCCGTATCCATACCTAGATCCGCACCCCCGAGTCTTAAATTTTAGATTTTGCTGAATCCGACACTTGGATCAGTGCTCGTATCAGATGCCCGCACCCGAGTTCGAGCAACAACAACAACATACCCAGTATTATCCCACAATGTGGAATTTGGGGAGGGTAGTGTGTACGCAGACCCTACCCCTACCAGAGTCCGAGAAACTTAGGCTAAAATTGTTTTTTGCTTGTTTACTTTAGGTATGCGTATGCTGGGGAAACTGAAGATGATTACGATGAGGAAGCTCTCTCTCTCACAACTGGAGTGAGGGTAATGGCCGGAGTGAGGGTTATTAGTGACTCAGGGACCATGCTTGAAAGAAAAGAAAAGAAAGGGTCTGCTTCGACAGAGATTATAAGTGACCAAAGAGAAGATCCCGAGGAGGATAAGCGTGAGTAGTGTCATCCTCGGCCCCTCAGGAACAACAATTGGTTTGTATTTTCAATTTCAATTCTCTTACATCACTTGTATGCCATGTACAAAAGTAACGACGGCTGTTGTGAGTCGCGAAAAATGTAGTTAAACTTGTACATATTGAAATCTATGTTAGGCTGAATATATTCGGCTGCCACGGACTCTTATTTCTTTCCCCTATCCAAGCTTTTAACCTCTGAGGGTTTCATGTTGTACTCAAACTTCTATTCACCGATACCACCACAAGCTTTCGCATTCAGCTGCGGTGGCCTACGAAAAGAAGTAGGCAGAGATGATTGAGTTAAAGCAACTGTATATGTATATATATGCCTAGAGCTGAATAAACGAACCCAGGTGTCGCTGCTATCCAATAAACTCATTTCAGCAATTTCTTGTAATGTCAATTGCATCACATGTTTTGCTTGAGAAAATGTTCTTGCCCTGCTTCTGCTAGTTTTGTATTTTGTGTCAAAACCTTTTGTGGTAGGCTTTTACTTGTATGAGGAAGTTTAAAATGCCGAGTGTGATGATCTTTTGAGTCTTTTGGGTTGAAATGCGGTTGAATCTTTTTGAGCTTCTAGTAAGGAGTATAGATGAATCTGCGTTAATTCCGAGTGTTTAAAACATTAAGGGGTCGTTTGATTCGAAATAAGTTATACATGGAATACTAATGCAGGGATTAATATATGAATTAGTAATGCATAAATTATTTCTTATTGTGTGTTGGATTCATTGTACTAAAACTGGATATACAAGATATCATATAAAATATTTATTTATTTTTTAAACTAAAAGACTATGAGTTTACAAATATATCCTTGGATATTTTACTTTCATAGGTTTCTAGGAAAAAGATAAGGATACTTTTGTCATTTTGTTGTTTTATCCACGTATAACTTATACATGGATTAGTTATTCCATGTTAAAGTGGTACAAAGTTATACTAAAATTGGTGTATAAATCTTCAATATCATAAATTGTATGTATGGGTCCGTAATATTTCAATACTCTGTAGTATTTTATAATAATCTAACAATAGGGGTATAGTTATATTTCTAATATATTAAGAGTCTTTTTGTAAGCACTAGTCTTCTGTTTAGTATCATTCATACGGTTCATTATTTTTTAACTTTTGTTAGATATGCCTGGATTTTGATATATTCTAAAAATTGTGAAATAACTTCTCTCTATTGATTTTTTTGTATGTCTCTTTCTCTTTCAACGCCTTCATCACAAGTTTACATCTACAAATTAGTGCGTGTGAAGGCCATAACACGTGGTCATATCAAATAATAATTGAAAAGGGGGGAGGTCAAGTTTCACGACAACAACCCCTACCATGTATAACAACAACAATAACCCAATATTATATTATTAGTGGGGTTTGGAAAGGGTAGTGTGTACGCAGATCTTACCCATACTCTGGGGTAGAGAGGTTGTTTCCGATAGACCCTCGGCTCCCTCTCTCCACCTTGCTCTTGGGGTGACTCGAACTCACAATCTCTGGATTGGAAGTGGAGGGTGTTCACCACTAGAGCAACCCTTATCAACTCCTAAAAATCGAAAAAGTGCTTAAATTTAAAATTTTACCTAAGGCGGAAAGAGGAGACAAATTCTATCCGCTTAATAGTCTGTTAGACCGAGCTACAAAAATCAGCTTATTTTGAGAAGTGTTTTTCTCAAAAGTACTTTTGGTGAGAAGTTGTTTGTGTTTGACTAATTAATTTGAAAAGCACTTCTGAGCAGCAATTAGTGTTTGATCAAACTTTTAGAAACTGCTTCTAAGTGTATTTTTCTCAAAAGTGTTTTTAAAAAAAGTGTTTTTGGAAAGAATCTACTTTTTTCTATTTCTCTAAAACTTCTTTTGTTTCTACTCAAAAACACTTCTTTTAAAAGTTTGGCCAAACACTTCAACTTGAAAAAAAAAAAATACTTTTTTGAAAAAAAAAAAAAGTATTTTTGGATTTGGAGAAACTTGGCCAAACAAGTTATATAGTTCCCTTTTTGGGGACGTAATTTGCAGCTTTCAACTTACTAAGTTTATTTATGTAACTTTTTATTATGAAGGTGATCTATCTCTTAATACATACTATTCAATAATGTCATTTTAAATATTTCATACTTATATTTCTTGGGCCAAATACATAGAGAGCCCTTAAAGTTGGCTCCAAATTCCATTTTGACACTTCAACTTAAACTGTTTCCTATTAAACACTTAATCCTAACATAAACTCTACCTATTAGGCCATCGTCTAACCACCAGTAAACAAAAGTAACAGCGTGAAGTCAAGCATGATGACGTGACAAAAAAAATAAATCAAATAACAACACCTGTTTTAACCCAAATAATATATTAACAATATACCCCCAAAAAATATAAACTTTTTTCCTTCTCCACCTTGCCTCTCCCATCGTCTTTTTCTCTAAATGAACCCCTCCCAATCATCAATCGGTCTCTTTCTCTGTCAAATCTCTCTCATTAGTAAACTCTCTCTTTTAACCATTTTTTCTATTATTTGTCTAAGAGAACGACAGTAGGTGAAGTTCCACACCGATGTCGTTGACCCCTCTGGTTTCTCCGGCAAAAGTCTATCACTGTCATTTATTTTAAATCCATGATCATACCCCATTAATGGAGTCTTACTTGCTACTTTTCTGGTGGAACTTCTCAAAAACTTTTTTTGTCCTAAAATAAGACGCCAACCCTTGAAAAAATTTATCCTCTATTTCAATTCTTTATCCTCTGTTATTTTTATTTTTCCTTTTCAATTTCATCTAGGTATTATTATGTTGGTGTTTTGATTTCTTCTTTAATGAGAAATTTATAAATTATCAGCTTGAAATTGCGAATTTGGGTATATCTAGTCTAGAATTGTTTGAAGAAGCTGTGGAGTTTTGATATTATGATGCGAAGTTTTGTTTCTAACGGTGGAGAGGTGGTGGAGTTCGAAGTGATTTTCACGGTGATAGTTCGGTGGGAGATGGAGGTGCTTATGCTGTGAAAGTACATGTGGTGAAATTGGCCAAAACGGTGGAGGTGAGAATGAGGTGGTGATGAAGACAATGGCTATGGAGGTGGCGTGATGGGGTGATATTTGCAGAGAAGCCAAATAAAGGAGATGGAAGAAAAATTATACCCTAATCTTCAATTGACACTCAATATTTTGTATCCACGCTCTCAAAAAGAAGTGTGATATACTCACTTTGCCACCTCAGTATTTGTATCTAATAGGTACGGTTTATGTTAAGATTAAGTGCTTAATAGGAAACTGACTAAGTTAAGGTGTTAAAATTGAATTTAAAACCAACTTTAAAGGGCCGTCTATATATTTGGCCTATTTCTTAATAAATTAAGAATTCCTTATAGTCTTCATTGTTTATATATTTATTACATAGTCTTCTACTGATTACCTTTTACCTGAATGGTAATAAGCAATGAACATATTTTGAGGAAAAATGAAGAAAAGTTATTTGAGGAATAAAATTTGGAGCCATCATTGATATTATTGCTTTGTCCCTGACAAATTAAGTCTTAACTCTTAAGAATGAACTTTTTATTTCTTATAGAAAGGTCTTCTCTTCTACTACTTTATATTTTGAAATCTCTTAATAAAATTCCTAACACTGTAATTACGAGCCTTCTCACGTTCAAAAGTTTTATGAAAAAAGGAAAAAAAATAATGGACTAATAGTCGTTTTTTCCAAGAAAAATTGGTTTGCGACCTAACTCCCCGTCCAAGACCGGCGTTTTGGCATGTTAGGTACCAAAACTTTTTTTTATGATATTAGTATATTGTTTTTACTCTAGACTGGATTCTCTTTCTTTTGTTTTCTCTTTTCTATTTCTTCATTTCTTTTTTTAAATGCTCAAAGCAATGTCAAGTTGACCATTTGCACGTGGCGTTGGAATGCTACACGTTTTAGAAGTAGTTATCCATATAGTTGCACCAAATACCCATAATTACTATTCCCATCCTCTACTATTAGATTATTATTAGCAATAAAATAAATAAATAAATAAATACATATAAAGAGGAAAACTTGGCCTAACCTCATTTTAATGAGATGATTTTTCTAGTTACAAATTACAAGCCTTTATCCTTTTTTCTTGATATATTGAAAATTTGACTAAATGAAATTCTTAAAATCTTTTAGAAGACACACGATTCAAATTTGCTACAAAGCTTCAATTAATATTTTAACTTTGAAGTAATAGAATATTGTCTACATTATTATTTGCAAAATTATATTAGTTTATTATGATTAAGTATAATTACTATAAAAGTTAGAAATCAGAATATTTATTGGACATTACACGTGGATTATGCCTAAGGATCCTATTGGAGGAGCCACCTCATAGGGTCCCACTCATCATTGGTCCCAAAGGCAATAAAAGCCGCCATACCTCATCATCTTCTTAACCATTAATTAAGGACAAAACAATATTCATAAGTAACAAATATCTTATTATTTTAATTTTTTTTCTTTCCTCTATTTTCGGGTTGTAGAAATACATTCATCAGCTCGCAAAAAAGTGCGGCTCAAGAACAAAGTTAAAGTATCTAATTCTTGTTGTAAAGTCGAATGTCTAAAAAAATTTAAAATACTTGAAAATAAATTATATAATTAGAAAGTAGAAGTATTACTAATTACAAATTTTGAATAATTAAAAATTATTAGACTTTTTAAATGACAATATCTTCTTTAGTAAGTTTCAAAAAACAATTACAACTTTCTAAATTATGAGATAATATAACTTAAACTTTCATCTTACTATTAATAAATATTTTTATAATAATTATAGATTTAACCCAAATAATCGCACACCTAATTTTTTAAATTAAAAATAGTCAGCATATATATATATATATATAT